TGCTTTACAAGAAAAGGATAAAAATATAAATATCTTATTAGAAAGATACTTAGGCTGTTAAATTGAAAAAAAAGTATTATTTGCTAAACTCTTAGTACTTTTTGCATAAACATATCAAGTCTGATTTAAGTACTTTACATTATAAAAATAACGCATATTCAGTTTGTTTACCAAAAAAAATGCTAGTATTGGTATGTATTTAACCGAATAATTTAAATAACGGAACAGATGTAATGGAGGATTTGTGTTTTTCGTCTAGATTCACATTAAAAATGAAATGCGGCAGTACTTAGAGATACATAAACACTATATATATATATATATATATATATATATATATATATATATATATATATATATATATATATATATATATATATATATATATATATATATATATATATATATATATACATATATATATATATATATATATATATATATATATATATATATATATATATATATATATATATATATACATATATACATACATGCATAAATTTAAAACAGACAAAAAGTTGTGGTTACAATGTTTGCTACATAATCATTAGATCTATGTTTTTTAATGTTATACATATAACTTAAAACATACACCACTACTGCATCTCATGGCATACAGTAGTGATCACTTTACTATACAAGTTTGTATTCATCAAGGCTTGATTTTTAGGGCTAAAGGGTCGACAAAGGATTTCAAAAAAAGGAGTTGGCTCCTTAACTGTAGTGTCCTTCTGCAGTCTCAGTGAGATGAATACAGTAAAAAAAAATTAATATTAAACAAATAATATATAGCAGTAATTATATAGAGAGATAAGATCTCATTATTTAATAAAAATACACAAAAGTATAATTAAAATAAATATAGATATAAATAGTAATTGAAGATAAAATTTTAAAATTATTTAAAAAATATGCTAAAACATTTTTTTCTTTGTCTAGTTTCAGACAAAACTGTTAAAGCAAAGACTTTGACTTATTTGACATTATTTTTTTTTAGTGCATTATTTTTTCAATTAAAAATGTCACAAATAAAATTTACAACAACAAAAAAAAACTGCTACCAAAATTACCCCTATTGTATGTTACACAGCAAAACTACCAAATTACCCCTATTGCATGTTACACAGCATTAATTTACTTAAGTCTATATATTAATTTTAACAAAACTTATTTTTGAATGAAATTGCGAATGAAAATGTTACAAAAATAACAACTCACCATATAAACTGGGTCCGTCATTTGTAAATATATTGTATAGAAAAATATTTAATGGAGTTATCACTTGTTTGCCATAAAAAAGTGTATCAATTGATACTAAATTCATACCTTTTTTTTTTGTAATGTTATATAGAATCCACATACTATAAAATTTTATACAATTCACAAGTTATAATGTAATCAATGTCAACAAAGGTAAGACTAATAAGTCATTTGAAGAGTTTTTCTCAAGTTTCAATTCTCTTTTAGATAAACATGCACCATTGAAAAAAGTCAGCAATCGTTGCTTATCAAGGGGTCTCAAACCTTGGATAACACGAGGAATCTTGACTTCTATTAAAATGCGAAATAAAATATTTAAAAAATTTCTTAAAGCAAAGAATCCTAATAACAAACTCAATCTAGAAAAATCTTATAAAGCATATAGAAACTTACTTGTTACTCTCACCTGTCGTATTAAAAAGAACCATTACTCTAAGTTCTTCTCTGACAATGCCAAAAATTTGAAATCTACATGGAATGGTATTAAGAACCTTTTAAACATTAGTTCGAGAGTTAACTCATCTCCTTCATGCTTATCTTCTACCAACTCCATGATACACGACCCCATTAAAATTTCTGAATCTTTTAATTCATTTTTTGTTTCAGTTCCGGAAGATTTACAGAATAAGATCCACTCATCCAATACTGACTTTAATAAATATCTTAAAAATCCTAATCTTAATTCAATGTTCATAAAACCTACAGACAAAAACGAAGTATTATCGATTATTCATTCTCTTAATGACAGCAAGGCTTCTGGACCTAACAGCATTCCAATACCTATTTTTAAAGCTCTTGCAAATGATATCTCTCCTGTACTTTCTGAACTATTTACAACCGGTCATTCACAACCGGTGTATTCCCTGATATTTTAAAAACTGCTTCTGTTATCCCAATTCATAAAAAAGACTCAAAACTTGAACGTAATAACTACAGACCAATTTCATTATTATCAAATGTCAGCAAACTTTTAGAAAAACTTATGTATTCTCGTATTTACAACTTTTTAAATAATTCTGCTTGTTTTCATATTCGACAATTTGGGTTTCGCTCAAATCACTCCACTTCTCACGCTCTTATTAGCATTACTGAAATGATTCGTGGTGCAATTGACAGTGGTTCTTTTGCTTGTGGTGTATTCATAGATCTTCAAAAAGCTTTTGATACGGTTGATCACAACATTCTAATAAAAAAGTTAAACTACTACGGAGTACGTGGTATTGCTAATCATTGGTTTTCTTCATATATTACGGATCGCACTCAGTTTGTTTCAATTAATGGATTTGAATCCACACATAAAGTTATTAAATATGGCGTTCCACAAGGTTCCGTTCTTGGACCGTTGTTGTTCTTATTATATATAAATGATTTATCTTGTTCGTTAAAAAATTCTATGATACATCATTATGCTGACGATACCAATCTTTTATATATCAACAAATCCCTCACGACTATTTGTAAAAAAATAGTAACCGTATTTCCTTGAATGTCAATAAAACTGAATACATTATCTTTCATTCCCCAAAAAAAACTATTGATCATATTAAAATTAAAATTAACGGTAAAACACTTTTTCCATCAAAATATATAAAGTATCTTGGAATATATCTTGATGAAAACCTATCTTGGTATAATCAACTGTATCATCTAAAAAAAAAACTTACACGAGCTAACAGTATGCTTTCTCTAATTCGTTACTATGTTCCTATCCAAACTCTTCGAATGATTTATTTTTCTTTATTCTCTTCTCACCTTTGCTATTGTTGTATTGTTTGGGGTCAAAAAAGAAACTTTTTACTTAACAACATTGCTAGTTTACAACGCGCATCTATTAGAATAATGACATTTTCCCCAATGAGATCTGATATCGAAAAAAAAATTTCTGAACTAAAAATCCTAAAACTCCATAATCTTGTAAAGTTTTACAATTGTCTTTTTGTGTTTGACTTTCTCCAAAATAAACTACCAAGCCCTTTTTCAAATTTTTTTATTAAAACAAACGAAGTTCATAATCATCACATCAGAAATACAGAAAATAGTAAGCTATACTATTCTTTTTTCAGCACAATCAAATATGGTAAGTTTTCCATAAAACAACAATGTATCTCTCAATGGAACCAGTGTATTCCTGCATTAACAAAAAAGTCTAAGAAAAAATATCCACTTGTTACGAATTTTTTACTGCTCAACAGAATTCAATTTAAAAATATATTGTTGGAGTGTATTTCTTTATAATTTCTCTCTGTACTATAGTTGTCTTGTGGTTTGATTTTTATTTTATTTATTATTTACCAATCTTATATTTATTTATTATTGTGTTATTAATGTTACATTTTATGTTATTATTATATCTAATTATCATCTATGATTTGTACATACAATTTATATTGTATTATAATATTCTTAATATTATTGGTACTTTATTGTTATTGTTATTATTTTGTATTATTACTATTATTATTACATATATCATTATTATTTGTTTAACAATCTTTTCTTCTTTTCTTTATTATTTATATATACAGATATTGAGTTTTTCCTTTTTTTTTTTTTTTTTGTTTTGTTTTGTTTACTTTAGTTTCCTTTTTTTTTTTTTTTCTTTCTATTTATTTATTTTTTCGTGAAATTTTTATGTTTTTTAGGTGTCACTCCATTGACTAGTTTGTAACTATATGAGTGACACCTAACCAATTTATATTAATTTACGATGAAATTTGTAAATTTTATTGATATGGTTGAATAAAAAAATATTATTATAATGAATATTATTTATCACTTTAGAATTAACAATTTAAAAATAAAAATACAATACAGTTACTTTACTTTAAAATTGCATAGGAAACAAAATTTAAAATGAATTATTTACAACTTCACTTCCAATAACCCTGCAACAACTAAGTTCATAAGCGAGATTTGTAAGATGAGATAAGTGAGTTCGTAAGCAAGATTTATCAGAAAGCAAAAAAGAGAGTTAAAAAGAATAGCTAGAAAATGGTGACTTTTAAACTGATGGCTTAAAAAGCAAATCAAGTAAGCATGAAAAAAGAGAATTCCAAAGCATTGATATTCAAGAATAAAGACTTAGTATTCCATACATACATATCTGTTATATATAAACTTCTTTACTTCTATTTTTTCTTTAATTCTACTTTTTTAAGAAGATTTTATGAATTATAAGAACTTTGATAGCATTTAGTTTTAAATAAAGGTTTAATTTAAATAATGGCTTTTGTTACTATTTACATTCTATTTAAAAGTATTTCGGAGTTTTAAAATCTTTTTAAATATTGTAACTTTTAGTTATATTTTTTTACAAGTTTTACAAATAAATACATTTTTAAAATAATTTCATTCTTAACTATTTTAAGAAATGAAAAAAACATTTTAGAAAATTTTAGACATTTAACAACATTTATTAACATCATTAGAATACTTTATGTATTTAACTTTGTTATTTGGCTTTGTTTTTGACTAAAGTAAATTAAAAATAAATTTATGATTTTGCGTACTTAAACTCAATAATTAATTGACTACTTTGTATAGTTGTCAATTAACTGTTGACTTTAAGTATGCAAAATTATATATATATTTTTTGTTTAATAGATACTGTTATAGATTTTTATTTAATATAGGTTACAGATTTATTTTTAAGACCTTTATTTAAATATAATTGATGGCTTTTTGACATGTCCTAATGTGTCAATTGTTTTATTATTATATATGTCTTATTTTTTTAGAGGCTGCAAATATTAATTCAGAAGATATTCTGTGCTACTGCTGTGTTTTAACATTATTGAAAGAATTAGCTTATCAATATCGGGTTAATATACCTAGCTCTGAACTACCTGTGGATGTTGTTAACAGACCAAACTGCTATTGGGGTAATAATTGCAGGACCCAAACTCATTCACCTAACCATGCAAGGTACAAGTTAGTATTTGTAAATTTTTATTTAGAATTTTATTAAAAATCAATTAATATTGAATATAATAACATTTTACTATAAAAAACCAACTCTAAATTATTTCTGTACTTATATTCTTTCTTTTTTAGGAAGTTCAACCATATTTGTACACAAACAAGATTTTCGTAACATTCAAGATATATAATTGTGTTATACATAAGATATATGTGTGTATGCGTGTGTGATTATATATACATGTGGGTATTTGTGTGTGTTTATGCATGTGGCAGTATCTTATTCATTTAAAATTTGTTTGATATCTTTTTTATATTTTAGCAATTTAAAGACTTTTAACAAAAAAAATATTTTTATCAAAATAAATTTAAAATCAGCTAAATTTGCTATTTAAAATAGTGAAATATAAGGTTTCTTTTTTATTCTGTTTTCTTATCTTTTTTCATTACTTTGTTTTATATGTTTTTTTTTTTTTTTTAATTTCTTGAATATATTTGAGTAAGAATGTGAAGTATCAAAAAAAATTTGTAATATAAAATTTTGAAAAATATAAACATAGCAAAAACCTGTAGTTCAATTATCTTTTACAAACCAAAGTGGAATATTGTTTTTGCTTATATAATAGTTTTGTTTATATATTATTATATATTTTGCTTATTTATAGGTTTTGTGTTATATATTTTGCTTATATATTAATATATATATATATATATTTTTAATGTAAATTCACCTCGCCATGGCCAAGAAGGTCACTACAGACATGTAGGCTATTTTAATTGTGTTTATAATCTCAACTCTATAATTCCAAAACACGAACCTTGACAAACAAGGTTGCTGCGTGGAGAAACTAGTTAAATGCGATACTACCAGGGACGTGGTAAGGATCAAACTCGGAACCTCATACTTATGAAGCATACACTCAACTACTACACCACCACTGCCTAATATAGTATATATTATATATAGTATATATATATATATATATATATATATATATATATATATATATATATATATATATATATATATATATATATATATTAATATGTATGTATATGTATATAAATATATTTATACAGATATGTACGTATATAGTAATAAAATGTGAAATAGTTTAAAATGGTGGAATCTTTAAAGTTAACCAATGACCAACTAAAAGGACTTGTATTTTCAGATGAGGTAGAGGAATCTTTAAAAGAGGTATTTCTAAATTTTGTTCTGTAATTAAAGGTATTTCTAAATATTCTGTTCTAAATTCCGTAAAAAGTTTTCTTGATTATTTTATTATATAATTTGAGTTAATATTAGTTAGTTTTGTAATTTTTTACATCATCTGTTATAATTTGTGGATCTTCTCTTATATTAACAAGTGTTTCCATTTAGCCCATTTAGGAATGGAATTATACTAATTAGAAATTAGCCCATTTAGGAAGGGAATTATACTAAAGAGAAAGCTCTTCTTTCCTGCTCTGATTGCTTTGCTTGTTTTTGCTCTTCATGACTCCTTGATTTTATTTGTTTGTCTTAAATACTTTTTTGTTTTTCAAAATTTTGAACCTTTTCTTATGGTTATTTTAAGATTGTTGTCAAAATAAGCTGCAAACTTTTTGACTTTTTAGGTCTTTTCTTTCCAAAAATTTTGTTTTCTGTCCTTTTGTTCTGTTCTTTTTATATTCTGTTCTTTTCATATTTTTCAATTATACAATACACAGTTGTTTTTAAAAAAAACTTAAAGAGTAAATAATTCACCTTATACAAAGTTATTGTTGTAGGGCTTGTACTGTTTTCTTACATCTGGCATTTTTTACATCTTCCATTTTTTATAACTAAAAAACAATTATTTTAGATTACTATTTTTTTTTTGTGTAGTTTACGCTAAGACATTGTGATTTGCTTATAATTATTTGCACTTTGTTGAGTTTCATTTTTGATTGAACACGCATTATATCTGTGTATACAACGTTGTTATTTGTTGGAGAAGAGGGATTTTTTTTTTTTTTTTTTGATTTAAAGGAGAAAAAAACAAAACTTTTGACTTGTTTTTCGGTTTGGATTTCTTCATTTGTTGTTTTTACTATTTAAATAAATTTTAAATTAAATAAATTTTGTATAAAATAATCAATTGTTAAAAATTTTTTATGGTTTTAATAATATCAGATAATATTAGTATACGGCTTTTTATTATTGTCACATTTTATTTTTTTATTTTTTTTTATTTTACTGTTTGCAGGTTATTTTTATTTTTTTATTTTGTGCTTTTACTTTACTATTCTTTGTTTGAACTTTATTTATTTTGTGGTCGTGTTTTATATTATTTCTTTGTAGTTTATTATTCTTTTTTTACAATTTTTTTGTTAAAAGTGTTTTTAAATTTAAGATTTATTAAAAATTGATTTGCAGGTAATAAATAGCACAGATCCTTTAGATGGAAAAGATTTTAATCCTGTCGAATATATTAATACATTGTTTCCAACAGAACAGGTACCCTTATCTATAAATCTTTGTTGTTTTTTTTTAATTTACCTATTTTAACATTTAGTCTAAATTTTCTATAAAATAAATTCAATTTATTATTCTCTAAAATAAAAAAAAATTGTTCGTAATCAAATGGTCTAGAGCCTTTATCTTAAATAGCAAATTCTGGTTCAATTCCTTTTAATGATAAATAGATGAAGGGAAGATGGAATAAGGAGAAAAATAGGGAAGATAATAAAATAATAGATGTAAAAGTGTGTTTATATATAAGGGTTTAGGCAACTTGCAACAAGTAAGAATACCTTTTTATTTATAAGATTAACTTTTTTTTTTGAGAATGCAGTCAATTTAAATTAAAAGATTGTTGTAAATTTTGCAGGAACACATAACTTTTTACTAACCAATAACTTTTGGCAAAAACTTTTAAGGCCTCCACTTATAATGCGTTTGTGATGTAAAAATTTAATAATTTCTTATTAGCCATTTATTTTTGTTGGACTTTTTTTTTTATTAGTCATTGGCAAATATAGATGAAGTAGTTGCACGAGTTCGTCTTCGTATTCGTAAGCTTGACAATGAAATACATGCATCAATTAGAAGTCAAACAGATGTTGCAAATAATGGGAAACAGGTTTTTTTTCTGCTGTTGAATTCACCAAAACTGGTTGTTTTGTTTTAAAATATTTTGTTTGTTTTAAATTATTTTAGGCATTAGAAGAAGCAAAAGAAGCAATTCGAGAAGTATTTTCAAAGATTAAAGATATTAAGGAAAAAGCAGATAAATCTGAAGAAATGGTATGTATATATGTGTGTCTGTGTCATAATATATATATATATATATATATATATATATATATATATATATATATATATATATATATATATATATATATATATATATATATATATATATATATATATATATATATATATATTAGGGTTATTCAAAAATAAGTCATGTCAAAATTTTGATAAGAGCTCTAGCTTATGATCTACCCTGACCCCAAATTAGTACTACAAAAGTTTTTTTGAGCATCGGAATGGTCCCCAGAGAGGGCAAAAGGGTCAATTTTTGCCCCTTTTTTATGAAAACTTTTCCCCGCTTGTGGGACCCTTAAATCTCATCCAATTTAAAAAATAAATTATTTATTAATATGGTAATAAGCTCTAATACTTAAGTTTAAAGGGCTCTTTTTTTTTAATTCATATTTAGGTATTGGTTTATTTTCATTAAAAAGCGGGTTTTTAGTATCAAAATATCTTATATTTTGAGGTTTTTTTAATAATTTTATATTCGAAAATTTAAATAGTTGATGAAACTTTCCTTGTGGGAAAAATAAATTGTACTATTCCCAACAACAATTTTGGTACTACACAAGAAATTCTTCAGTACTACAACTTTCTGAGGAAATCTAGACCTGAAGTTAAAAACTAAGTTTTATTGTTGGATGCCCAAAAAAAGTGGATCTTTCTCACCAAACTGTCTTACCAGTCATTTACATTGCTGCATAATATCTAAGCTTGTTGTTGCGTGGACATGTGGTGGCTTTGAAGTCATTACAACCCAGAAGCTAAGGTAATAATAGATCAAACTTTATAACTTATGAAAAAGCCAAAATATATTTTCAAGTTTTTTTAAGCACCCCATAATAATAATTTCATTTTATAGGATAAAGGTAGAAAAAATTGTGAAGGACTGGATGAAGCTGAAAAGCTTAAGTAAAAGAAACAACCCTACTGAAGTGAGAAAGAAAAAAAACTTTATTGAAAGTATGAAAAAGATTTTCTGAATTGGAGAAGACCCAATAAATATGATTGAAAAAATAAGGAAAGATAGAAAGATCAAAATGACAAAGAGGAAGACATAGCTTTCCTTAAAGATCAGTTAAAGGAAAGGAAAGCAAGGTTAGGGGGTTTGGATAAAAGATTTCAGTACTCAATAAAAAGAAAGCATAAATTTAAATGTAATTATAGTAAGTTGGACAATGTATCTGATGCAGATTCTGAAACTTCATCAAGTTCTCTTAGTACCAATAAAAGTATTTCAACTGATAAATCCAAGTAGTCATACTTCAGGGCCAGAAAATAAATTATTCAAATTTCTTAAAAACCATTGGAATGATCTAGATACTGAAAAGCAAGATTTGAAAAGATTATCAATTCTGATTGGTTCCTGGATTAATGAACAAAAGCTGAATGCAGTTCAGTTTTGCAGATATATAATTAGTACTAAAGTTTTTAAAATAGTGAGAGTAATAAATAGTTTTATTAAAATCTTTATAAATAATTCAATTAAATCTAATTATTTCTTACAATTTTAAAAAAACAATAGAGCAAAATAGTACTTCACTTTTAATTTTCCAGTTTTATCTGAACTTTAATTTTGTTTTAAGTTATTTAAGTTATCATTAATTGTTAATAAATATTTTTTAGGATGGAAAGTATTGTAAAGACTATCAAGAATTGGCTGAACTTACTTTGATGGTACTCTCAGCCACCGACAGATTCAAACTTTACAATCCTGATGCTGTTCATCATGCCAGATTTATGTGTAAAAGTTTATTTTACTTAAAACTATTTCTACTCATGGAAAGAGTTCCTGAAATCAATGAAGAGAGCAGGGATGAAATCACAGAAATGACAAAGTTTCTTTCTATTTTTTACACTGAGTGGTTTCTCTGAGCGGAGTTAAGTTTAGCTGCTCTGGCACAGGTACACTATCTGAATAGTAGTTTGAAAAAAAATATATACTTTTGAATAAATGCATAAAATAGGTATATTATTTTTATAATTTAAACATTGATAAATCTAAGCTTTAACTATTAGGACATGAAAACATTATAGCAGATGAAAAGATTCGAGAAATGGAATAAAGCTGGCGGTCAAGCAGTTTCTAAATCCATACAACGACATACTTGGTACCTTGATCCATATTTAGTCATTTTAACAATTGCAGATAAGAAATGTCAAAAATAAGGCGATATGGCTAAGAGCCTCCCAGTTTAGTTCCACGAATTACAGAGAAGTCATGGCTTTATTTGTTTATAAAAAAATGTAGCGTTTATTGTTTTTAAACAAATATTGTATTATTTTGGTGATTTTCAATGTTTTTTTATCGCTCTTAAAGTTACATAAATAAATAATTATGTAAAAAGCCCCTAAACCTTAAGTAGAAGAACTCATTACCATGTTATTAGATAATTCAATTTTTAAATTCCTTGAGATTTAAGGGTCCCATGAGCAGGGCAAAGTTTTCCTAAAAAAAGGGCAAAGATTGACCTTTTTTCCCTCTGTGGGGACCTTTCCGATGTTTAAAAATTTTTATAAAAAATTTTAAGTACTACTTTGAAGTCAGGGCAGATCATAAGCTAGGGGTCTTATCAAAATTTTGACATGACCTATTTTTGAATAACCCTAATATATATATATATATATATATATATATATATATATATATATATATATATATATATATATATATATATATATATAATAAATACTTATTTTGAAAAGTTATTTATGATTTTTATTTAATTGATTGCAGGTTAAAGAAATAACAAGAGACATCAAACAGCTTGACCATGGTAAAAAACACTTGACTACATCTATAACTACACTGAATCATTTGCATATGTTAGTTGGTGGAGTTGATACCTTAATGTATGCACATGACATTCCTAATACTGGTTTTTATTTTCAAGTGTACATGGGCTTTAATACAGTTTATCATTTATTTATTCTGTGTTACTGGTAAATCTTACCATTAACTTTATGCCTTTTTACATAGGGTTTTAACAAAAAATCGACAATATGGCGAAATTGCAAATTTACTGCAAGGGGTCTTAAATGTTTTAGACCATTTTAAGAAGTATAACAACATACCTCAAATAAAGCAGCTCTCTGATAGGTGGTTGTTTTATTGTTTTAAAATATGTTTTTTTCGTTTATTGTTAATATAATTTATTTTTTTTTGCTAAAAATTTTCATTATTTTAGAGTCAGAGTGATCCAAGAAAGTCTTGGAACACAAATTTTAGCAGACTTCAGAGAAAGTTTATCAGACCCTGATTTAAAGGTATAAACAATAAAAAAATTTTATACTTTTAGTTTTGTAATTTAAGATTATGTTATTGTTTTAAGAACTTTTTTATGTTGCAGAAATAAGCTAAAATCTCACTTTCAGTTAAAAATTATTTTAATTATTAAATTATACTCATTTATTCAAATTATAATATTTAAATTGTAAAGATTTGCATCATCGCTGATGTAAGGGAAAGATACCTATGATGGCATAGTGCTTATGATGGCATACTTATTTCTATACTGGCTTAACATTATTTGTGGTTAAAATACATACCTTTTCTAAAAATATTTTTTTTATTATCAACAAACGTCAGTTTAAAGAAGTTTAAGAAATTTTTTCAAGTATTATAATTTTAGTCCGTTTATATATTTGTGATTATAATTTTATAAATCATACAAAAATGAACTTTTTATGCATTTCATCTACAAGTGTTGTGCATTTATAAAAATACCTAATATAATGTTATTTTTTAAGCAAGGCAGTTTAGAGCATGTTTAATGATAATGTTGACTCATATTGAAATTACATATGTTGGCGTAGGTATGCCATCATTAAACTTAATTGGTGAAATAAATTACACAGCGCATTCATTGCTGAATTTTATTTTTAACTCAGCATGCAGCACAGATTTTGTAGTCAGTGGTAAATTTTTAAAACTTTTTATAAATATATATGCAGTCCTGTAACTCAAAAAACTGTTGATATTTTAAACTAGCTCAATGAGAAACAGCTGATCAAGGAAATTTTGTACCTAAGTCTGACGATAGTGCCTGAAATCAAACAGCAAGAACAAATAAAACTTGATTCTGGAATTAAGATGTTCCATTTGTAACACAATTAAACCAGAAAATGAACTCACGTTGATACACTTCTCAATTCAGTCCTGTGAAGAATGATACCATGTGAATGTTTAATCAGTGATTGATGATATTGGTTATTAAAGGGTTCAGAATTTATGGTTATTAAACAACTTGCAGAATTCTTAGTTATTCAGTTATCCAACTTTTTATTTTCAAACTCTTTTTTTCTTCCAGATCCTGAGCTGTGATTCTTGGATAAAGATTTCTTGTAACATTTGAGAACCCAAGAAACAGTAAACTAGCTGACTGTGGCTAGTTTAGAAATTGTTCTGGATGATGATCCATTAGTTTCTAAGTAAATGCAACAAATTCATTAAAGGTTAATTTGTTCTTTTGACATCATTTTTAATAATAATCTATCCAGGGCCGGCGCAAGTAGGTGTCACGTGGGGGGATGTCATTGCAACTTTTGCTGACTAAAAAAATAAAAAAGGGTCTAAATTTACAGACTAACTTGTCGAAATGGTCTACATTTGCAGACTGACTACTCGAAAAGGTCAAATTTGTCGACTAAATGAATGAAAAAACCATTGATGGCCATGGCGCTGGCCTTGAGTCTATCAGTAGCAAGTAGTTTTTTGTTTCATTTTTTGTTAATTTAAAGCTCTCAAAATTTAGTCCATATTTTCATGGCTATGCTTTAAATGTAGGATCTTCTTAATTGGTGTGTATTTTCAAGGCCACATAATGAGCCTTTTGTTATGACTTTATACTGATTGGCAAGAATGAGACAATTGCATAACTCAATGCTTAAGATGTCATGCACTATCTATAATTGAGATCATTATATGTACATACAATGAATGAGACAACATGAGATGAATGAATGAGACAAAAGCTTATATGAATGAGACAACAGCTAATATCTTGATTGAGTTCTATAATTGTTAAAAACATGAGCTTAAAACTGGTAATATAAAAAAATTCTATCCTTTACAAATATTAATGGTCAGTAAAGTTTATATCTGTTAATTCTTACCTTTTATAGGATTCACCAGACCTGTTTGCTCTTTGTGAGACTAATTTGAACTTGGCTGATTTATCTTTTCATTATTTGATTATTGTTTACTTTTATCTTGTACTTCTACATCAGATTTACCCTATCATACAGTGTGCCCAGAGCATGAAAAAGTTCTTTTTATTTTTGAATTTTAAATAGTAAATTTATATTGCGTAGAACATATGAAGGTCACTGCAAAAAAAATTTTTGAAGCTGCTTGAAGTTGAAGAAAACGGTAAAGCAAAATATTTATTTTAAAATTGCACTGATACTGTTTTTAACAACAATTTTGGAGAACTATACAATAAAAACTACACCATGAATTTAAAAATATTTTTTTTTTCTTTCCTTGTCTGGAAATGATATTTCATTTGTTAATTTTATGAAAAAGAAAATTTGAAGTATAAACATATATATTGTGTAGATTTGTTTAAAACTTAGAAAAAATTTCTAAGTTATGTGAGAATAGATTTCTTTAATTAAAAACAAAGTGACAGGATAAAAACTCAATTGATTCATATAATATAGACTTTTTATTTTTATCTGTAAAAATTCCACAGTTCCACAGAATAATTTATATTTGAACTTAAATTGTTCGTACATTTTGAGATTCAAGGTTGCGTAATTGTAAAATTAACTTTTACGGATCCAAAAATACTTATTGATAACTTGTGTCAAAATGTTTTTCATAAAAAAAGAAGAAGAATATATAATAATAGCTTTGAACATTTAATTAACTCATTGGAAAAATCAAAAAAAATTCTAAAAACAATTAAATTGAGATATAATCTAACTTTAAAAGATGAAAAAGAAAACATCAAGAAAGTTTTGGCGTAAATTGAAAGACATACAAAAATTTTTAAAGTTAAAATAAAATAAACTTTTGCTTAAATTGGAAACTTGGAAAAGGAAGTTGGGATAAGACTGCCTTAGAATCCTTAGAATAATTATTAGCATCATCATCATTCATAATTGATTTAGAAGAGGAGGGAGCTACACAGGCTGAAAGAGGATGGAAATCAAATGGGGGAAGGAGTAAGGAGTAAAACTTCCAACAATATTAGTAGCAGTTGCTTAAATCTACAACTTGGATCTTTTTTATAAATAAATATCAGGTAAAATATACAAGAAAATAATATTTCAATTAGATACCTTTATGAATTGTGATGACAATCAAAATTCATCCCCCATGAACATTGTTATCAAAGATACCGTCGAGTCACTGCTTGATATATCCCAGTTTTTTCAAAAAAATTCAAAATTTACCCTCTACGTGTACATGCTGTACACAGTAATTTTGGACATCATGGAAATCACAATTATCACTATTAGTTTTCTGATCCTCAAACTAAATTTAAAAAGAATAATAAGATTTAAAGAAAGTAAATTGTATTTATTCCTTTTGGTGTCTGCTTGAAATTACAGATTTAAAAAGCCAAGTAGTCTAGACTATTCCAATCCTATTAATTTTGGCAGACCTGTTACTTTAGTCAAAGCAAACAATATCCTTAGTGAGGAAAAAATGATAATTCAAGAATGTTTTCTGTAATCATATAAATTCAATAAGACTTATATCTTGTATATTTGTATTTAATATTAAACTATTTTGAACTCAAATATATTTGATTTGGAATATGATATAATATTATTTTCCAAAAATTATGTTACCCATTTATTAGTCATAGTTATAATAAGTTAGTAATTACCCAGTTAAATTAGTCATACAACATGCGAGAATCATGGAGGGGCACTCATGGCGCCCCTCCCCCATATTTGCCCAATTCCCTGAGTCAGAGTGCACTCATGTAAAATTGTGCATTCTGACCAGCAGAATCAGATTCTTTGACCCAAAAAATAGTATACTAAAATTTTTACAAGATTTTATAAAATTAACTCACATTCTGGGCACACTGTGTATCACCTCTTACTTCTTACAACCTTAAAGTTGCAAGAAGTCAGGGTAAATCTGGGATTTATTTTGTGATTCTCTTCATGGACAACACTCTCTTTTGTTTCCAGTAACTTTTAAGTACCACTAGGGCCATCTTTCGCCCCTGTGTTGTTTCTTATTTATATTCATGGTTTTCCTAATAGATAATCTTACTTCTGTAGTGGCTCTATGTTGCAAATAAATAATCTAGTCTTAGTAAAAAATTATACTGTGATTAGGCTTTAAAAATCGTTGACCTATACAAAAATGTCTTAAATCTCAATTTGTCAAAAATCAACTATTGGTTTATTCCTAACCATTGCACAATGGTCTAAAATGTAAAAAAATCTGGCTAAAGTTGTAATTTAAAAAAGAAAGAATGAGTTTTAAGCTTTCTACTATATTGACTTAAACAATGTTTTTTGGCCATAAAATGGTTGCTGTGGAAACCATTTCACCCTAAAAACAGTGTTATATATGTGACTATTTGTGGGTGAATTCAGGATTTTTTCATATTTAAGTTAAGTAACTTCCAGTTACTAAGTAGTTTCTAAACTTCAACTTTTTGTATGGTCATACTTATGTTATATGAAGATGTTTTCCAAAAAATTGCACTGTTTAGAGCTTGGGAACGAAAAATACCCAAAACCACCTTGTTGTGAGGGGAATTGGTTTTTAAAATTATAAATTCTAATATTCTAAATTAGGTGGAAATATCTTCAAGATTTTAAACTTTTACTGAAAAATAATATTTTGTTTAGAAGTTATACTAAATTTACAGTCTCCTTGTTTTGGGGCTTGTGAAATTTAAATAGTTATATCTTTTGAATGCCAGATGATTTTTTGATGAGATTTCAATAATATACAACATTCAGTCTTATTAAAGGAATTAATTTTTTTTTTCAGAAAATTTCAGAAAATCAATTCCCCTACATTTGTACAGGTCATACTTACTTTTTAGGGCAATTTTCGGCAAAACATTCTTTAATGACATGCACAAGTTTGGAGTTTAGAATACCTAAAAGTTATATTACCTAAACACCAAAATATTCTGAATCCACCCCTTGCTATTAGCAAAAGTAAAGAATTTTTTTTAAAAGGACTTAGGATTAAAAGTCAAAGCAAATAAAATTTATCTTTGTAAAATGCAGGAATACGTAGGCAATATTAATAATTATTAACAGTGAAGAACCCAGAGTTTATTTGGGGATACCGTTTTTTTTTTCAGCAATGATAAGGGGGGAGAGGATTATTTTTTTGATTTCCCCTCCCCCTCATTCTCCTCTTGCTAAACGGGTGCCGCAACAATAATTTTTAATCATCATTTTCTAAATAATCCTTTATGTTTATCTTGTTTAGTTTTATCCTATAATAAGGTGTTAATTTAAAGGCATTTTTTGAATACATGAATTTACTGGTGGGCGATGTTACTTTAGCTAAATGAAAACTATTTAACCTAAAATTTTAATAAACGCTTTTGTTGCATATACCACCCTATCAGTAAATAATTATTAAAAATTGTTTAAAGTATTTTAAACAGTTATTAACTATATTTTAGTAAATTTAATTTAAAATAATAATTAAAAATATTTTAATCAATATTTACATTACATAATATTTACATATATTATATCGCATAATATTTGTAAAATTAACAAAATAGTTTTACGTCTCGTATTTGAATTAAAAACATAAGCTTTTAATAAACAAATTCAATAAGCATTTAATAAAGGTATTTAATAAACTATTCAAATAAAAACATAAGCATTTAATAAACTATTATTTTATATTTAAAATTTTGATTTAAATATTAGTAAATCTGTTCATTTAACTTTTACTAAAGGTTATAATTTTTAAAGTGATTTTAAGGCGTCTTTTAAATTAAAGATAATTAAAGAGATAATCACAGTAAACATAATTTTAAAAATATATTATTTTGATTAAAAACCATATTATATTTTTTAAAACTTATATTTAAAAAAATATATTTTTTTAATTATTAAGAATAATTTAAAAAACTACATATGAATAAATAAATTACATTTACTATGGGTTATTTTAAAAGATCTAAATAAAACTTTTGTTGAGTTATTGAAACCTTTTTTTTATTATTTTAAAAAGAATATTGAATGGAAAAAAAACTGTCTGAAAAAGTTTATACTTCGTTTTTTCGTTTTCCTCACATAAACTAAAATAGCAAACTGAAGATCAAAAGTTCATTCATTTAAAAATTAAACTTGCGCGATAGTTACAAGGACTGATATTTTTTACTTTTGTTCATTTATTATCAAAAGCTATTTACTCTTAATTGCTAAAAAGAAAAATTAACTTTACCCTGAATGGATATTTAAAAACGCTTAAACTCTCAAAAAAGCAAATCTTTTATACATTCCATTGTTATAAAATTTTGCAACGTGGTTTTAAAATTAAGTTTCTTAACGACTTACATTTTTTTAAAAGTTATGTCCAGTTAATAACTGAAGTTCAAATTACGTCATGTAGTTATGTAAAAAAGTAATTCTTAATTCTTTTTATTTTCCTGAAGAAAAAATCAGGTAGCTAAATTAAACTGAGAATTACTTATATACTACTGCATTTAAAACTAATTTTTTTTTCTATTTTTTTAAAAAATCAAAATAAAAATTAAAAATAAAAATAGTTTTTGGGCGCTTTTTTTTTGCCGCCCATACCGGTAAAATGGTACTAAAACACGTCTGGGTTCTTCACTGATTAAAGACTAATAATTATAATAATATGTAAAAGTAGCTGGTAACATATTCTATCATTTTTTCGAAAGTTTTTCCAAAACTTTCGAAAAATTTACTTACAATTAAGTATAAGTCATTATTATGCGGTAGTGGTGTAGTGGTAAAACACTCGCTTCATAAGCGAGTGTTTTACCACTCCTAGTGGGGTAGTTTGAGGATCGAGGTTCCTAGTTCGATCCCCACCACATCCCTGGTAGTACCGCGCTCAACTTGTTTCTCTGTGCAGCGGCCTTGTTCGTCAAGGTTTGTGTTTCAGAGTTATAGAGTTAAGAGAGGGTTATAACCACTATTAAGTAGCCTCCTCGTCTGTATTGGCCTTCTCAGCCTTGAGGAGATGAATAACAAAAAAAAAAAAAAAAATTTAAAACACATTAAAATAACGATCAAATTGAGCTTGTGACGTTAAAAAATATTTCTTTTATTATTAACATTTTTAAGTACCTACTTGATTAATTTCCATTGTAAGTTAACATTTTATTGTTAACTAATTTTCTATGAAGTTAACTATATATATATATATATATATATATATATATATATATATATATATATATATATATATATATATATATATATATATATATATATATATATATATATATATATATATATATAAATGCGTGCTCTGTAAAAAGTATTAAGTGTATGATTTGCTCATAAGGTGCTAAGCTTAAAGCTCTGTCTCTCTTTTATATGGTTGCCTCTCTTTTTCTTTTCTACAAGTCAAATGAGAATAAGTAATGTTTGATGCATCCTATCGTGTAACATGACAAGTAGTAAAAATATTGCAGAATTTAATTATTTGATTGTTAATAATTAATAATTTTTTATTAGTTTTAATAATTTTTTGGGCTTTTTTAGTTGTTTTTTTCAGTTTTAATTTTAGTTTTTATTAAAATATTATTTACTCATTGTAATTATTTATTTAAAATGTTCAAGCCTCCTACTGGACCAAGTTCGTTGTTAGCAGATTCGTGTAAAGTTGTCAGTATTCTTGATCCAAGAATTAAGTATAATTTTTTGTTTTCATTTTTAAGTATGTTTTATTGTTCAGAGTTCAGGCCTACAAAAATCAATATGACCTAAATCCAGTTGAATTTTTTTTTATCATTTTTTTAAATTTGTTTCATGCTTTTGTTGATCATTATTTTAAATTTTAAAAATTAAAAAAATTTTTTGTTTTTTATTTTTGAGTCTAATTTTTTGTTAATTTTTGTTTGATGTTGAATTTTTATTTTTTTACTTCATTTTACAGAGAAGAGCTTCTAATGTGGTTTGTAAAACTTCAGCTATCTGATTATTTGAATGTATTCAATGAAAATTTTGATGTAGGGTAGATGTTTATTTTTTATGCGTAATATTTATTTTAAAATTTCAAAAGTTGCATAATTCTATTTAATTCAATTCAAAATTAATGAAAATAATACAAAAAAAAGGCTATAAACAATGCCACACTTATTTTTTATTTACATTAAAGGTAATTTTTTTATAACTAACAATATCATTACAAGATTGCTACAGTAATACATTCCAGTCATCTTTTATTTCAGTAATTTGTTACTGATTAATGTTCTAATAATTTTTTACAGTAATATATTTCCGTAAATTTTTTAAGTAGTATGTTTTAGATGATAAGAATCAGACTGGTATGGGCAACATGTAATTCAGTACAAATTATCACATGTTTTGCTTTGTCGAATTTAATTTTAAAGGAAACTTTTGAGACAAGAAATTGATAAAGTTAAAAAGTTTCAACTTAAATCTAGTAGACTAATGGTGATAAAAACATTTTACTTAAGTTTACTCACATCAAATTGTTTTTCTAAAGTTAAGCTCTTTTTTAGATTTTTCTAGGAACAAAATTTTAGTTGAATTTGATAGGACTGTTACAATTAAACATTTTTGCATATATTGAATTTTTTTTGCTGTGCTATTTGTTCATACATTAGTTGCTATGTTATTGTTGCTATGTTGTTGTTGCTATTTTATTTGTTGCTGTATTTGTACACTTTTGCCATATTTAGATTTAGATTTTTTTAAAAATGAATAAAATGTTTTGAAAGGTCTATGCTTTGCCAACAAAATACTTTAAATTTCAGGATCCAATTCAATAAAAAGATCTCATAATGCATTAGACTCTGATATTGTTATTTGCCAATATTTTTTGCTGTGCGATGCAGCATTTCAGATCAGTTTGTTCAGTCCTTCTTTAGATTCTTCTAAGTATTGATCAATAGACAATCAAATTGCTTTAATATAGAACAACAATATATCAAAATTTTATTGATGTGAGTATGTGCTTTAATTTTATTGTTGAGGGAAATTTATACCAATTTTATTGTTGTGGAAAACTCATATCAAATGAAAAGTATCAACTACTTTATGTAAGTTGTTGAAATACTTAAATACTTGAAAATTACAAATAAGGTTAAGTTATTGGTAAAGATAAATCTTACTAAATGTTCAAAGTTTTATGGTAACAGTTTTAATATTGTTAAATTTACAATTGAAATATTTATTAATAAAATTGTATTTTAATATTACTTTTTTAAGCCTATCAAAAAGTGGTTCACTTTAAAATTTAAAGTTTAAAAAAGATGAAACTTATACTTCTTTTTGTCTGACTTTTTTTGCAACTTTTAACTTAATCTGACTCACTGTGCAAGTCCTGGCACTAGTTCTTCTCACTTAGTCCTTCTGTCCTGGCACTAGTTCTTCTCATTTAGTCCTTCTGTCCTGGCACTAGTTCTTCTCATAGGCGTTTATTTTGAACAATTCTTTTTATTTATAGGAAAATCATTGTTTTACAGAAATCATTGTTTTACACAATATTTTTCAAGTACTCCAATCAGGGTTCTTCTGTTCTTACTTGTTTGCCTTTCTACGCGACAAACACTTTCCACTCCTGCTGATTTCGTATTTATTTGTTTTAAGCTTGATTGTTCAGTTAAGTGAAAAACTGCCTTATGTTCACCACCAAACAATTTATGTTGTTGCACATGCAAGTGCAGAGACACATCTTTTAAGATCAATGATCAGTTGACAATGGTTTTACCATAAATGCTTAAATACTGTTATAATTGTAAGCATAAATCAATAATAAAAAAATAAATTGTCATCTACAAATATGTTTAGTATATGTACTTCATATATATTTGAAAAACATTTGTATTAACAATTACGAATCAAAAAACACAAAAATTCAGAACAAAAAGTTAGTGCTGTTTAGTTAGCAACATTAATTATTAGTGCAGTTTAGTTCGCAACATAGAGTGAGTGTTTTTATAAGCTTTTTTTTTTTTTCTTTGAACAGATAGCATGGATTGATAAAATTGATAGACGTTATTCATGGATGAAACGTGTATTAATACAGTTTGAAGAGAATTTTCATGGAATGTTTCCAGCAGATTGGGGTGTTGATGAACGAATATGTGTTGAATTTTGCAATATTACAAAGTTAGCTTTTTTTTTTTTTTTTTTATTGTTGCTCTAATTTTGCTGGTTTTGTTTAATTTATTTGTTTCCATTGATATGTTAATAGATTTAATAAAATGTTAAATGAAAGTATTATGTAATATTAAAAATTTGGTTTTGGTTATATTTGATTAGAAATGAGCTTGGTAAGATTATGGATCGTCGTGCTGTTGACATTGATGTTAAGCTTCTTTTATTTGCAATTCAGCGTACTACAGCATTTGAAGGGTTTATCTCTAAGAGATTTACTTACAGTCATTTAAGAGCAGAAAAGGTTTTTTTTTTTTTCTTTTCTTTGGATTTCACATTTGTTTAATCCATTTATACAATATTTATATTTACTTTGTTAGTTTGTCTTTTTTTGTCTCAGTCATTTAAATGTAATCTGTCTTGTTTTGGAGTAACCATAATAATCTATCAGTGTGATGCAAAATACCACAGTACTATAAAGTTTTAAAAATTTAGTATTACTAATTATGGATACAAAAAAAAAAAAAAAATTTTTTTTACAAAAAGCTGCATGGAACATTAAAAATATATTATAAAGAGTAAATAGGTTACATCTGGTATAATCAAACAATCTTATGTCATAATTGTTTGGGTTTTGTATTTTTATATTTTATATTTTATGAAAGTTTTATTTATTTAAAAAAAATATATTGATTTATTTCAAATAAAAAGTATTTATGCCTTACACCTTAACAATGAAAACAGATACATAAAAGACCTTAAAAGAATTTATATTTATATATTATATTGTTGTTGTTGTTTTTTTTTGTCTTTTTAATTAAAAAAAAAATCTTAAGTAAACAACATTTTTTCATATGTGTAATAATAATGTGTAAATTTATATGTGTATTTACTTTTTTTCATGCGGTTTTGCACATTAGGTACCATGATGTACTATTAAACTTTTAGGAGGTGTATATAATGCGGTAGTGGTGTAATGGTAGAGCGCTCGCTTCATAAACGAGTGGTTTGGAGTTCGATCCTCGCCACGTCCCTGGTAGTACCGCGCTCAACTCGTTTCTCCGCGCAGCGGCCTTGTTCATCAAGGTTCGTGTTTCGGAGTTATAGAGTTGAGAGAGGGTTATAGCCACAAATAAGCAGCCTCCTCGTCTGTAGTGGCCTTCTCGGCCTTGAGGAGGTTTTCTGGCAAATTAGATATAACAAAAAGGAAGCAACAAAAGACTTATTGCTACTTAATACATTTTAATATATGAGTTAAACCACATTTTAGTTAAGTGTGATTTTTCCAACTTCACCAAGGTGATTTTTATTTTATTAGTTAAAGTCTTGAAGATTTTGATTTTTATCATGTTGAGCAAAGTTGAAATATGTCTATTGATATAATGGAGAAA